TATATATATATATATATATATATGTACATATACAGGGTTTCCCAGACCACCCGTCTCATCCGATTTTTTCGTTAATATATATATATATATAATATATAGAATTAAATATTAAAAAAATATATTATATTATATTATATTATATTATAATATAATAAATAATATAATTTTTTAAATATTATTAGAAGTAGACATATAACAATCTGTTAATATTCCAGAAATATTATTTAATATTAAATAATATTACGTGCTTAAAAAGATATTATATTAGGTATTAAACTTAATTCTTGCCATTTTTCGTCTCCAAAATTGATTTTTTCGAAGGGAAGATGAATAAATATTTTACTCTAATTTCTTTCATTTTCTACTACTTTTCCCTATCTTTCCGGCAATAGGGTAATTTCACGACGATAGAACGCAGTGTCTTTCGAGGCGATCCATTCATTCATCCACTTTTAGACTTGCTCGTAACTGGAGAAGTGTGTGCCAGTAAGTATGTGTTGTATCGACCGGAAAAGATGGTAATCTGACGGTGCTATGTTTGGAGAGTACGCTGGATGTGGGAGGATTTCCCATTCAAGCTGTAGAAGTGTCTGTTTTTCGCAACATGCGATCGAGCGTTATCATGCAAAAGAATGACTTTGCGTTGGCTACAACAAATGGTCTTTTTTGCATCAACTCTTCACTCAATTGGCATAATTGCTGTTGGTAGTGATCAGCTGTAACGGTTTCATTTGGACATAAAGGCTCGTAATATAGTACACCATCTTGGTCCTACTAAATGCAAAGTAAGGTCTTATGCCCATGAATATTCTACAATATAATAAGAGGAATCTCTTAGGCGTTGAAGTGGATGGTTGGCCGGGGTCCACCCATGATTTCCTCCGCTTGGGATTATCAAAATAAATCTATTTTCCATTGCCAGTCACGATATGCCACAAAAACTCTTTTTTTTGACTGGCGAGCAAAAGTTGCTATAGACAAACGATTCAAAATGGCATTTTCTGACTCATGTGGTAGCCATATCCCTTTCTTATGAATTTTTCCCATGACATGCAAGCATGCAACAGAGATGGCCATTGGTGTAACATTTAACGCTTTCAACAATTCTAAACGTTTGAGCTGGATCCTCATCAAGAAATTCTTGCAGCTCGACATCTTCAAATTTTTTCGGTTGTTCGGAACGTTCTCCGGTTTTTCTCTCACGTCAAAATCACCGTTTCGAAGGCGTTCAAACCAAACTTTACATGTTCTTTTCGATGGAGTTTCATCGCTATATACTTCGGATAATAAGCTATGCGTTTCAACTGCAGTTTTCTTGAAGTCAAAATGTAGTGAAATCAGTGTCGAAAATCAGTAATGAAGAAGCACATATCGGAAAAACAGCTTATCGCGGTTTATTTTCAATCAATTGGAAAATCTCTTTGGCGTCGAGAAATCTAACCTGTAAAGACTGAATCGCTTTCAGTAATATCCAAACTACACAAGACATGCGATTTCACCGTCGAAACTCGTCAGTGTTGGAGCCGGCACCCTCTAGTAGCGAGCGGCAGAAATTAAATTTACCACTTAATAATATAGTCTTATAATATAATATAATAATTATATAATGCTTACATGTATAAGTCTGCTACTCTCTCTCCAGTACCGAGTTTTCGAATAACGTTCATTTCATCGAGCGTTAATTCAAAATCAAAGATTTCCATGTTCTTCTTAATTCGATTTTTATTTATAGACTTCGGAATTAGCGCAACTCCATGCTGAAACTATAATACAAAATTTTTCATAACTTGAATATTCTTGTTATGTATTTGAGTAGCTTGCGTGAGCACGACAATTAGTACTGTATTGATGATAACGGCGCATGCGTGCGTACATGCGATTCAGCGAGCGAAGAAACAACGAACTAGAAGAGCACGAGAGTCGGCAAGAGAACATGTGTTGGAAACTTCTACCTCAGGAAATAATTGTATCGTTTTATATTAATTAATAATAATTAACATGTTAAAATATAGTGCAAGTATCTGGTTTTGTCCTTGTTTACCATAACCCTAAAACGTACATAACAGTTCTGACAACGAAGATGGGATACCGGTAAATAAAGTTACTGGTAAGACAAGCGAGAAACTTCTATGAAGGCGACATGTAGCAGGTAGACAATTGTATCATCAGTTTTTAAAAAGTTTACGCTGTCAAAATAAAAGAAATTTCTGGTCGTTATTCCCTGACGGCCATGCATCAGGACGTTGGTTCTTGATACTATTACAACTGCGAAAGGAGAAATTGCTTGGCGAAATACACTGCAGGTGGATTATTTTGAAACAAAACAACAATCGTTGAAGAGATAGCTTCAACGACTGAAAAGAGCGTTCTAAACTTTTCAAATTTGTGACCTAAAGGAAAAGGTTACTCATTGGTTCCGTCTTTGTTTACTACATGCAACATATCTACAACGTATATAACAATTCTTCAATGTAAAATAAACATATTTTATTCTTTATACTACGTACCACGTATCGAAGAGCCACTTGTGCTGGAGTCTTTTCGTATTTTTGAGCAATTTGCAATACTGCAGGATTATCTAAATGGTTCTCAATACTTGATCGATTTCCAGGTTTTCCCAAAGGTGAATAGCCGGTTACCGTAATGTTGTATTTCTTACAGAAATCTATGAATCTTCCTTGGTTGACATTTATATTAACTTCAATCTACAACAAAATTTCTGTGTTAATCTTAAGCAGAATGATATTAGAGGACATAATATTAATGTCTGTTTTTATTATAATTATTTTTAATCTATAACATCGTTGACTAATAATAGACAGTATGTCTTTCACAGTATGTCTTTTCTAAGCTAGTTAAAGACGTCATATTGTAGATAGCAAGCGAACCAACTTTGTTATGTCTTTAAAAACTTTCTGTATTTGTCTTTCTGTTTGTATTTATCTATAACTTATAGTAATTATATGGTTTTCCGTAAATTTTCAGGATATACTCAGGATGTACTGAAGTCGTTAATGGTATTCCGTTCATTTTTTGAATGATGTAAATATTAGGTATACAAATTAATTCCTTACTTTTTTGGCAAAGTTCAAAATTTATTTATGAAAGCACAAAAAAGACTTTAATCAATAAAATAGTCTCCATCATTTTCGACGATCTTAAATTATCTATATTATCTATCGAGCAGCTGATGGATCCAACTGCGATAGAAACGTGACGGTGTGAATTTATAGTGTTACGTCCTGGGTATCTCGGGAACCACAAATTTCTTTTTTTATATATATGATTGGGAAGCAGACGAACGTCGGGCAAGCGTTATCATGAAGGAGATAAAATTATGATGATTCGCCGATTAAACGCGCCGTGAGTTTCCCAACATATCTGTAATCTCTTCCGCATTCATATAAGGCGTATAGTTTCGTTATATTCTGGGTACCGTGGGAATAACCAATTCCTTTTTTTTTATTAGGAGATAGGCGGATTTGGGTAAGCGCTATCATAAAAATGTGATCATACACCATCAATTGGGTCATGAGTTTCTCAACGCTTCCGTGATCTTATCCGTTTCTTAATCTAACATATCCGTTTCTAGTTTCCACTCTCATTGGAGCTCGTCATCCGCCACTCCCAAAAATCTTCTCTATATAAGCCCTTCTCACCTTTTTACCACATCACTTTTTTGTCGATTTCTGTCGCGTCTCTACATCACGCCTATTACTTTGCCTTCTGCTGTCGAACAACTCGCTATGCAAGTCGGGATCTCTTAAGTGAACTAATTCTCTCGGTATTCCGGGATCCCATAAATCCGGTACACCATGATCAACGAACCCACGTACTATTCATCACAGTTGATTCACCTAAATCGTAAGTTTCTATTTCATATTTAAACATGACTTTTAATCATTTCAATCCAATCCCACTTCACTCCTCAAAACACACACATACACTGCGTAATTATTATCTTCCTTGTATTATATAATGATGTTTTTCTCGCCATACCGATACGTTAAACATTCTTGTTACGTTAAATCCGATTGTATTATATTAAGTTACACAAATTACTTTTTTACTTAATCTTACTTTAATCTTCATCTTGTATTTGCATTATTCCAATAATGCTGATTTATAAAAGTTTGTTTAATGTTAACCCATACATCTCATTGTTTAACTTTAGCTAATCCTTTCATCTTTTAAATATTGTATCTTTTACAATGACTTTTCTTATCAATTTACAACTATTATTAATCCATGTGAGAACCAAATTATATTATTAGTATAATTAATAAACAGTTTTA